AGCACTCCCGTAGTGACGGTGTCAACACTAGGCGGCATCTCAACGTGCAGCGCAAATTTCCCCCCTTTGTTCCCTGCACGACCGTATGATACGTACTGACATCAGGGCGCCGTGCCAATGCAGACGGTGAAGGGGTAGGTGTCGCTGCCGGCGATCTGTGCTCGATAAAGGATGCCGGCGAAAACGACGAGAGCCTGGCAGCCGAGAGCGTCGCCCCTGGATCGCTAGTCTTGGAGGATAGCGTTACCGCCAACGCGAAGCCCGCTGAGGTCCCACAGGCATCGTCAGCGCATGGTGCGAATCTTTTGGGGTCCTTGTTTTTCTACAACACCGTGATCTAGTCTGGGGTGGATGGGGGTACCGCCGTTGTGAAGGCGGTCGTCCAATAATCGATCTGTTGCTTTGGTGCCTGCCACGCAGAGGGGCACGCCTCGACCGTACACCCTTCTCCGATTTCGTCTATACCCCACCTCACGTGCAGGTAGCCTCCCGAAGCGGACGGTCCTCCTTCTATGTAGTTGGGTTCACCGTTATTCTCGTAAAAGCCCATGACAGCAGCGGCGGGCCGTGTGTGTGTGCGTGTGTTAAATTAGCATTTGGCTGCGCTGCCAGACTGAAACCTGTGACACTCCGTCAGTATTGATAGCGGGGTAGCAACCACGAACACGCTTCTAAAGGTTCGGGGGGCCCGTGTGTGACCGTGCTGTACAGGGGAACACGTCCGCCCCGGGCGCGACTTGAACTCCTCGCAAGCCTTCGCGGCTAGCCTGGACCTGCCATTCGACCAGCTCGAGCTGGGCGAGCTGATCGGAGGCGGCGGGTTCGGACAGGTGCGAGCTGTAGCTGTAACTGCAACATCATGTCAACAACCGCAGCAGAAGCAGCAGCAGCAGCAGCAATGGAGAAGAGATATAAACCTGAGTGTGGCACAGGCCGATCCGGTTGCAGCAAACAGCGGACGAGAGATACGAAGGACTGCTATTTACTGCTGTTTATGTTGTTGTGGTTGTTTTTGTTTTGTTGTCGTCAATTCGCGTTCTGTGGACTGATTACTAAACTCGGACGATTGCGAGTCACCATCTCAAAACGCCAATCGGGAATAGACGCGACACGTTTGGTCGCAAGGTATGCACATGCGTGCTGAAAAAATGCCCTCCTTATTCTAAGTGTGTTCAAAATACTCTTCAGGTATGAAACCCACTCCGCTGGTGATGCCATGTCCTTTTTTCTTTTTTTTCGTTGTTCAGGTGTACCAAGGCGTGTGGAGGGGCACCCCGGTGGCCATCAAGGTACTCCTGCCCGCGGCTCAAAGGTGACCTAAGTCCGTTAGTTGTCATTGGCGTGCTGCTGCTGCTGCTGCTACTGCTGCTGTGTGTTTTATTTGGCTGGGAATTGGGGATGGTGGCTGATCGAGGCCAAGCCCGTCGCACGCACGCCGCGCCGCTTTATTCAGACGATGTTGCCCGATCGACCTGTTCATGTGTCTCCGGCTTGTTGGCGGTATTTATGTGCCATTATTTGTGCACAATTTTGGGTGCAAGCGCCGCCGTGTACCATGGTATGTCTCATCAAACGCCCGTGCCCAGAGAACGCCGCATGTGTCTCGGTGGCGACGCGTGACGCGCTGCGGCGGCCGAAATCCTCGGCAGCATCCCCCCCATGTTCAACGATGTTTGGTGTGTGCCGCGCGTTTTTTCTTTGTCCGCACAAAATCTAATTTACCGCGCTGTTGTTTTTCCGCGCGATACCCTAGTTTACACAGCGCGCTGTTGTTATTCCGCACGATGCAATGCCTATTTTTCCCTCCACCCATACCCACACACAGGGACCTGGACGAGGAGCTCGCGGCTGACTTTAGGGCGGAGGTTCTGATGCTGGCGGCGCTGAGACATCCCAACGTCTGCCTCTTCATGGGGGCCTGCATGGTGCCCCCGAACCGGGCGATCGTGACGGAGCTCTTGACCAGGGGTTCGTTGTGGGAGGCCCTGCGGGCGGACAGGGTCCCGGAGGTGAGGGGGCGCCCGCTGCCGCTGCCGCCTGCTGCTGCTGCTGCTGCCTGCTGCTGCTGCTGCTGCTGCTGGTGGTGGGGATGGTCGTGGGTGGTGGTGGTGGTGGTGGTGGTGGTGGTCTGCTGTTACGGTCGTCGTTGCTGCTGCTTCTGCTTCTTCTTCTTCTACTGCTGCTGCTGATTCTGCTCTGCTGCCGCCGAGTAGGCGTTGCTGGTTTCGTTTGTCGCTGTTCGGGGCAAGAAGAAGCCATCATATGCACATATCTCTGATTTAGGGCTACATAGGACCATCCTCGTAGGTGCCGGGTGCAACCGTCTGACGCCATGCTGCATCCCTGTGCACTTCCTCTCCTTGGACGTTTTTTTTTTCTTCTTTTTTTGCGATCATCCGGCGAAGCAGGAATCGATAGCGTGCTCTTTCCGAAGAGGCAGCGACAGATCGGGCACCGCCGGAACATCCTCGCGGGTCCTGACCCCCCAGGAGTGCTGGCCGTGGTCTGTCATCATGAAGGTATGCAAGGGGTGCCGATTCGTGCCTCTGTCGGTTACTTGTGGGGGGGCTTGGTTTTTGTTTTTTTGTCTTTTTGTCGGTGTGCGTGCGTGTTTTTTTTTGTCTTGTTTGGCCTTCCTTGCTGGTGGGTTGACGGATGCGACTTGGATCCCTTGCACGGTTGCCTGCCGGCTTCTCGGGTAGTGACTGACGTGCCGCTCCCTCTTGAGGCGAAAATTGGTCTCAGAGGGGCCGCTGCGCGTAACGCGAACGGTATGTACGTATGATCGATCTGTCTTTCTTGTAAAGAAATGAATAAAGCACCCAAAGCCCACCCAGTGGTCGGGCCAGTTTTATCCCGAAAGTGCGGCTCCCAGACTCCATGAGGTTACATAGATGTCTTGGCCCCTGTCTTGGCCCCTGTTGACGGCCAAGCGCAAACTCCCAGCCCACGTGACGGACGCACATTTAGCGTTGCCACTGCTCCAATCACCGCGTCTTGTACATTCCCTAAAAACGCACACGCACCGACGTACGTACGTGCAGTAGGTGTCCCGATCGTATTGCCGGCATGTGTCCACCAGAGGTTTGACCGACACTATATAGCGAGCACCGGCACAATATTCAATTCAAACGGCATACTGGAGGGACTGTACTGTACATGGGTACGACCGTTTCGATCGTGGTGGTTCCAACACGGGGGGCCGGATATGGCGGTGGTGGGGCAGCTGATAATAAATGACCGCGTTTTTATGGCGCGGCCGCCTTGTACAACATTCGACGGTGTAGAACAGCTTGATTTATTCCGGCTGTACCAACCAATTTTCACCCTGCCTCATCTAGGGCGACCGGCCGCCTTACTTACTCGGGGACCTCCCTCCTCTGTTGTACATGTATGACGTATGCTTCGCGCGGCGGCCGTGTGGTGCGGCAGGTGGCGGAGGGTTTAGCTTGCGGGATGTGGTACCTGCACCAGCACGAGCCATTCCCCATCCTCCATAGGGACCTCAAGAGCGCAAACTTGCTCCTGGACTCCTCGTTCAACCCCAAGATCTGCGATTTCGGGCTGGCCAGGTGTGCTTCACTTATGAAGTACTTGTAGAAGAAGTATTTAGCGTGGTGTCGCTGTTGGTTGGTTGTGCTGTGGGATTTGTTGTTGTGCTTTTGGTTGGGGTGGGTGTAGGGGTCCGTAGGCGGGTGCGGCCCTTGTCTCAACGTTTCACGGTAAGCGTTGGGCGGCGTGGTGTGGTGTGGTGCTGCGATGTGCGACGCGAAGGGTAAGATTGGGGCGCCTCCTCCTGTGGATTGCCACCACTTACCGTCGTGGGTGGTGGCGAGGTGTGATTGTACTGCTGCTGCTGCTTTTCGTGGTTCGGTGGGAGTGAAAGCCCCCGCGCTGTTGATGAAGCGTAGGCGGTTTTCATTGCGCGTGCTACGGGACGCGACATGTGTGTTATGTGCCATGGGGAACTGGCACGGTACACGAGACAAGCCGAAGCATTTGTACCTGGATACCAGGTCTCAGGCCACATCCGCGCGAGTCGGGTATACCGTCTATCTTTATGGTGTCCGTACCGACGTCTGTTGTTGGGCACCATGTCCTATCCATGGTTTGGTTGACAGAAAAAATGAAAAAGTCAGTCGGGTTTCTTAAGCTACTGCTCCCTGACCTCTGGCCTGTGGGTTCGTGTGTTTGACGCTTGGGTGTGTGGCAGGTTGAAAGCTTTCACCAACTCGGCGGCGATGACGGGAAACTGCGGAACAGTACAGGTAAAAAGCATGTGTGTGCCTCTTTGTCTCTCTCTACCTCCCTCTCTCTCTCCCTCCCCTCTTTGTCTCTCTCTGTCTGTCTGTCTGTCCCCCCCACCCCACCCCCCCCCCTCTCTCTCTCCCGCGAAAAACGTGGCCGTTTCTTTTACGGATTTTTTTTGTTTCGATCGGGCAATTACATGACTGGGTATACACCTACTACTGTAGGAAGTGCTATTTACCTGGGTCGTGGCGAGCCGGACTCTGGGCACTTTTTACCTTTTTCGATGCCTGTGTTTTCTGGACCTCGCTTGCTCTACTACTGTAAAGATTAGGGAGTGTTTTGGCGGTGGTAGAGTATTTGGCAGACTCTGCGGTTCCTTTGGAGTTTCTTGGCACTTGGTCTTCGACTGACTGGTACCTGGTTTTCGACTGACTGGCACGTGGTTTTCGACTAGCTGGCACGTGGTTTTCGACTGACTGGTGGGACATCTTGTTGTTTGGTGCGCAAGTGCTGCTGTTGTTTTCGGAAATCTCGCCACGCGGTACAGGCACGAAGTACATGAAGGTGCGCACGCGTTGAGGTGTTTTTTTTCGAACGGGTGATGGTGCTGACTTGGTTACTTTAACTTGTTGTTTTTTTTGTTAATGCTGCAGTGGATGGCGCCGGAAGTCTTGGCGAGCGAGAAGTACGCGGAGCCGGCAGATGTGTACAGCTTCGGCATCGTGTGCTGGGAGCTGCTGTCGCGAGCCTGTCCCTACGATGGGATGAGCCAGATTCAGGTGATGCCCTCCCCATCTTTTGCTGCTGTTTTTGCTGCTGCTGCTGCTGCTGCTGCGGCAGTAATTGTTGTTGTTGTTGCTCTCGTTGGTATGTTGTTGTGATTGTCGTTGTTGTGGTGGTGGTTGTTGTGATTGTCGTTGTGGTGTTTGTCTGTTTCGGTGTTGGAGGTAGTGTTGCCGCGGTTGAGGTTGTCATAGTGGTAGTGTCAGTGTTAGCCGTGCAAACATCTCTGGCCCGTGCGGACCATTCCTCCCCACTCTTGCCCGCAGAGGGCCTGTGGGCTGGTACACGATACAGGGTGACATGGCACGTCTGTTGGCAAGGTTGAAGCGCGTACAAGGCCAAATGGGGTAGCGCGGGCGGGTGTTCGATTTCTCTTGTCAACCTGAGTTGGTCGGTGTAAGCGATGTCAAATATTCGTCTACCGAACCTTTCTCTTGCAGTTGGAAGAGGATGTCTGTCGTCCACCCTACACACCCTGAGCTATGACCAAAGACTATACGGCCATGACAAATTGTTTCTCTCTGATGGTGAGGATCGATCATCTTCCATTCCGGCGGTGGGTCACCAATTGACTTGATTCGTCGAGCATCTCTTCGCAGTCGACCTACCGACTCCTGCAGGGACTGCTTCACCACATGTGCAACACGCCCACCACCGTCAAAACGCGTTATCTCTTTTTTTTTTTCGCCAATCCATCGCTTTGCAGAGTCAGCCGCGGAAGAAGAGAGCCGAGCACGACAACTGTCTGATGCCGCCCACGACCTCCCTCCCTATCCCTGTCTGTCGACCCCCCCCCCCCCCCCCCCCCCGGGGGGGGCCCCGGGGGGGGGGTTTTTGCCGTTGGGGCAGGCCCTGTTTAAAAAAGCACATTTCGTTGGGGAAACGGGAAAATCTGGTTACGTTTTTTTTTTTTGGGGGGGAACAAAAAGGGGGGGTCGGAAAAACTCGGGGGGGGGGGGGGGAAACCCCCCTGCCCCCGAGGGGGGGAGAATGCACCCCGGTTGGGGGAAAAGGGGAAAGCACCCCGGGGGGGTTAAACAAAGGTTAAAAATGTTTTTGGGGGGGGAAACACCCAAAAAAAAAAAAAGGGATAAGGAGGGGTTTTAACTACGCCAGGGAAGAAACACAAAAAGGGGAAAACCCTTTGGAGGGGGGGGGCTCCCCTTTTTGGGGATCCCCAAAAAACTCACGGGGCCTCCCGCTTGGGGGGGGGAAAAACTGGGTCGGGGAAAAAAAGGGGGGGCCCCCCCCCGGTTTT